GTCAGGTAAAATGTGACCTGTCGATGAGCTCGCTTAGCATGACGTTTTAGAAATGGTAAAATAACATCCGTGATCAAGGTGTCCATTCTGTTGCATTGTAGAAGAGATGTTATAATATAATACATAGATGCCGGTGGTATGTCGACAAGCTTACCTCCGGGTAGAAACTTTAAGCACTGTGTCCTTCAACGAAGAACCAGACATTGTGGCTTCATAACTAGGCAACTCATCATCGTTCGCATTCTCTTCTTCCGATAAATTACCATAAGGAATTTCAAATTCTTGTAACTGCAGTTCGACAACCTCACGAGCAACATTTCTAGGTACAACAATTTTCTTGTAGCGAAGAAAATCAAGTATCACACTGAACGCAAGAGGATTGTGGTCGATAAATATCACATTGTCTTTCGAGGCACTATTAACTAACTCCGCCAGACGACTCTTTGGATAAGATTGTACTAGGTTTCGCTGAATTTCAAATCTAGTACCTCCGACATTAAATAACACAGTATCTTGAGGCATTTTTGAAAAAGTAGAATCGATGACAAAAAAGGTTGATGAATGATTTTCTTCATCTTCGGCACAGCACAATTTAAATTGCCACCAAAAATCATATGCATAATGATGTGCACATTTATGGAGAAACAAAAGGTTTTCAAATTCCGATGGCCGTTTTATCTGAGGTCAGCCCATTCTATGCAAATAACGTTTGTGTCTGTTGTGGAAACCAGGTGACATTAAAGATTTTGGATAAATTCACGTATTTCCCACCTTCGTTCCTTCGCCAAAACATTAAAGACATTGCTTATTATTATTAATCATTCTAGGAAATCTGGGGTTCCTTGCCGAGTTTTATTTCTAGCATAAATAGACTTCTTCCTTGACCGACCATTCTTTTTTAATAACAAAATGTATAGAATCAGGTAATGCATCACTCTTTAAGATAGAATGTCTCAATTGATGGATGATAAATTTGTAATTCTTCTTTTTCTACTCACCTTCGGATAGTGACCCTAACCAATACTTGGTTAAGACTGGTGCATTCATTAGAGATGTATCTCTTCAAAAGAAAGGATGGGTGATGCCCGGTCAACGCTCCATCTTTTTTGACATCACTCCGCAAAATTACACTCTGCAACTTCAAGCAATGACAGCGGAAAAACTAGAATTCAATCTTCCTGCCGTC